GGGTGACAACAACAATGGCTGCCACTGGAGAGTTGAGGTGAGTAGATTCTGCTATTAGGTCTGTTCTAGAAGATATCGACAGCAAATTAATTTTAAAAGAGGAACAGAGAAACGCGATCAAGGCTCATCTTCCTATTCTAGGTGTGAAACTGCACGCTTTGATTTTTGTTGCCAACAACTATGCGGCGCTTAACATACGTCACGCACTCCGTTGCTCTTATTGGTTGTAGGTCTATCCACTTAAGTGCAGAGGCATTTTTTTTCCTGGTTCGTTGGAAACACGCCCCATAATCACAGCTCTATGGAGCAGCATCAGACTCATTCTGACTAGAATTGAGTCGGACTACGTCAGGCTAATCGAGGTCGTCACACAGGGGGGAAATTCCAAACAGCGTTCAGTTCCTGATTTCCCTGTCTCACCCAGTTCAGCTGGCTCTTTGCACGATCGGTCACTTCGATCCGTGACTTTTGATGCAGGAAAACAAAAGCTTCTTACAGCTAGCTTTCTTTAGCATTTCAGGTGAAATATGGGTCTCTCCTCGCAGGCGATGAAACCCAAGGAAAGAGGCCGATTCCCTTTCCGCGCTTGGATTTAAACCCTGAATGACATAGGGGTATTTCCTGCTGGGATTCCAGCCTTCGTGTCAGCTGATTGGTCCATGCGGGAGCTGACTGTCCCCTTTGGCTGGAAGTTTCCAGAACAAGTCTTTTGTTCTCTTTGGAAAAGGGAGGAGGAGGGTTTATATTATAATAAAAACTTGTGTAGGTTTTGTATGTTCAAAAAGATAGCTTGTTGAAACTGTTTTTCCAAGATCTCCTACAGCACCTTTAAAGGGATTATAAAAAAATCAGCCACGTTGCAAATATGATATTTACAAGTGTTATGCAGAGTCTAGATTAGAGTTTTCTCAACAGTTCATCAGTGTGATGGCGGTGGGGAAGATGCTGCTGCAGAACCTGCTGGTCCTGCATTGAATGCTGGGAAGCCTCTTCCCAGAGGGCAGCAGGGAGAACAGTCCATGGTGGGGGGTGAGGGGTCATTGATGATGTCACGGGATGAAATGAAATGTCTTTAATGGAGGGAAGAGGAGCCCCCATGATCCTCTCTGCTGTTCTCACCTTCTTCCAGTCTGAGGCGCTGCAGCCTCCACACCACACAGTGAGACAGCTGCTCAGAACGCTTCTGTGCCCTTTTGATCAGTGAGGTGGTGTTTTCAGTCTAGGTGAGGGTGTCTGTGATGTGCACCCCCAGGAATTTGGTGCTGCTGACCACCTCATTCAGGATCAGGCTGCTATCTCTACACCAGCCCACCAGCTGCTCCACCTCCCCTTCAATGGTTGTTTTGAATGAAAATATAAAAAGTCTGCAAAGAAAAGACAGGAGCTGGTAAAAAATCAACCGCTTTTAAGAGGAAACAACAGAGGCTGCAGAGCCAACATGAACAGAGGCTGAATTATTATTATTATTATTATTATTATTATTATTATATTTGACTGGATGATCTGGTTGAACTGTAAAGTGACCTGAGATGACATGTGTTGTGAATTTGGCGCTATATAAATAAACTGAATTGAATTGGACTGCCGAGCCTGTGGACTCTGACCTCTGGCCTTTCTATAACAGGCAGTTTATCCCCTTCAGATATTTTTCTCTTCTCTTCACCTCAAAAGGACTCCAGTGGTTTAAGTTGTATTGGGTGTTGGATTTAAATGTCCCAAATCTTCCCTCTTACCATAAGTGACTCCTTTCAGTTTAGGTAGGAGGTCTGAGATCAGGATCTGAGCTAAACGAGGCCTCGGCTCATATGGCATGACTGTAATTGATCTTTTATTGACTTGTTTGGTGTTGAAAGCTTGAAAGGCCCTGGTTAATCAGTGTCCTTCTTTCTTATCTATGTGGTGAAGTCTATTTTTACGCACTGGCAGTAGTTACGGATGTGTGTCGGCTGCAACACGGAGATAAATAACCTGTAGCGTCAGTTATAGCTGCAGGAAATAAGCAAACAACCACATAGCTCTGATCAGGTGCTGCTTGTTTGGTCGGCTCCGTCACTCCGTACTGCAAAAGTGATCTAGAACTAATCAATATTTCTTAACTTAGGTCTATTTACCCTTAATCTGAGCAGGTAAATCAGATAACCTGCCAATGGAATGAATATCTTTACTCTTAAAATAAGATAATTAGATAATATGCACTGGAATAACAACAATGCAATATTTTTTTTCTAATTTCAATGCAAATGATCTTGTTCCATCGTCAAAATGTCTCACTTACCTCCTCAATTCAAGAAAAAGTACACTTTATTTTATTATTTACGTATTTAGATTAAATTTGTTGCAGTGTTGTGGTTCCATCTGACAGGTGTTGCCTCAGATGTAGCTTTAGCTTAGCTTCACCTCTGAAAGGTTAATTAGTGGAAACTATAACGATTCAAATCTCTGTAGTTTTTATCATAAGAAACATTTAAATGTCATGCAAAAACATCTGCAGAACAGGGAAGGAGAAAGAGTGTGAGGCGTGACAGAGCCGCCACGACAGCAGCTCATCGCCATGGAGACGATAAAGCAAAGCTGGGATGCAGTGGAGCAGGATTATCTGCTGGATCCCTGAGGGTCGTTTCTACCGGGAAAGAGAATTTGAACATCTATTCATTAATGATATGAGGGACGTTCAATAAGTAAGGCCAGTGAGGTTTAGAAGCTGAGGCAGAGGAATAGACAGTTTTATGTTTGCGTCCGCAGACGGAGAGACAGAGCTCCGACTGGGGCAAGTTCAGCACACACATTTATAATGTACAAATCCCAACACACTCTCTCCCTTGGAACCATCCAACCCCTGCATAAAGAACCTTTTCACACACAAACTTCAGTTCCTCAAGGTTAATAAATCTTTCATTGGCCAGATAAACATTTAGCAACAGCTGTCTTCTGTTTACGGTTTACGGTACGAGGGAGCCTGAAGCACCTTAAAGGGCACGGATCATACATATATATATATATATATATATATATATATATA